GCAGCTCCTGCTGCCAACAGTGTGCCCCACACCTTGGCGTTAGGGCAGAGCCTGGCTGAGCTCGGGGTCTTCTGGGATAGCCTGGGACAGAAGTGGCAGTGCCAGGGTAGTAAGGAGGCACCTCTTTGGAGGTCGTCCCTGAGTGTAACGTGTGCGTGCGGGAGGTTTTAGAAGTGCACAGCCATGTAGATATATCCACATTTTAGCAAATCCTCTGACAAACTTTTCATCTTCTTTCTGTAGTAAAGATGGAGACCTGCTACCCTTCCAATAGTCGTTAACGATTCAATGTCAGATGGAGGGGGGTCTCCAGTGGAGGCAGTGCACTAGGCCAGGCTTTGTTGACTGCAGAGGGCCTGAGTTTGAATTGTGTGAGCACCAGGACGACAAGAACCACTGTGTGGTAGCAAAAAGAAGGGACGGCAGATGATGAGCGAGGGCAGTTCCCACTGAGCAGTAGTGTGGGATGCTGGCAGGGTCGCAGGCTCTTTGGGATGGAGGTTTCCCTAAAGCCAGTTGGGGAGCCCTCCCTTTAGATCTGCCCTTAGTTGTTCAGCCTAGGGCATCACTGAGCTCACACATGCAGCTGTTCAATGCTCCACAATTGGTCACTGGACATGCAGGCTCTTGCAGTTAGGGAGTTAAGGGAGCTTCAGTGGCCACTCTCTGGCTGACCACGTGTTGTAGGTAATTCCACGGGCCAGGTGTAAGAGAGTGGTCCCTTCAGTCCTAGATCCATGAGAGGGACCCCCTTTATTCAACCTGTCTTTGTGTGTGAAGTTTGCCATACATTCCCTATCTCCTCCCAAACCCCAGTTCTCTGGAGAAAGCTGTAGCTAGCACACTTATTAAAGTTGCAGCTGGCCCAGAGCTGGGAAGGGTAGTTTATAGAGTGCTGTAAGAGAGAGGCCAGATTCCAAAAGATCTCAGCAGGATTCCTCAAAGGCCAAGCCTCTCCCTGGGGCCTGAATGTTCCATCCAAATGGGGCTCCCTTATATTTTCCATATACCGTGATCCATCTCCCCTAATTGTACCTCCACACCAGGACTGCTTTCCCTCCTCCTCTGTGCCTCTGGGATCCCTGAGCACCTCTGGCATCCCTGAATGCCCTTGCAGGCTCAGCACAGAGGCTGCCACCCAAGAGAGCCCTTTCTGGATTCCCCAAATAGTAGTGCTTTCTTCTGCCCTGAGATTACTTTGTGTTTATTTTCTACAGATTTTGTATTTTATTTCTCATATAGCGATTTTGTCTGCCCCACCCCACCTCTCTGCCAGTACACTGTTGGCCTCTTGAAGGCAGGGAAAGTTTCATTTTTGTCTTTGTATCTTCATTGCCTAGAACAGGGCTTCTTCAATTTTTTCTACTCACCACCCCTTCAGTGCTTCTTAAACTCTAACCCCAAATGCACAACCCACAGTTTAAGAACCACCTGGCCTTAGAACATCACTGAGCATCTAGTGGGTACTTGGTAAATGCTCATTGAAATGAAAATCCAGTCAGGTGAAATTTAATAGCTATCAATGCAAGGTTTTTCACTTGTGCTCAAAGAATGAGCTTGGTTAAGTACAGAAGGGGGAAGACATAGCTCGATGGCAGTTTGGCTGAAAAAGATCTGAGTCAGCACAAAATCAACACGAGAAAACAAAATGGAAGTGAACTTGGGCCGAATTCAGAAAGGCTTAGCATGTGGGCTCTGAGGGAGACCATCATCCTATGTCTTGGCCAGAATAAATCTAGAATGTTGTGTTCTGCCTTAAAAGTCAGCTCTGAGGATTGGCTGAAGGAAATGGGCAGGGGAGCACTGAGGGGGATAGCATGGGGGACATGGGATGGGGAGAGGCTTCAGGTCTTTAAAGGACTGTGACCAGTCCTTTCCACAGAGGATGGAATTAAGAGTGAGTAGTGTGAGCCACACAGAGACAGAAAGAGGTTTGGGGAAAGAAAAACCCTCCCTGGTCATGGAAGCTGCCCCCAAGTAGAGCCGGAGGTCATCCCCTCACTAGCGTCTTCAGGCACAGACTGAAGGACCACTGGCTAGCAGCATCGTCGAGGGCATTCTTGTAGACAAGTCCTTTGGGTGGGATGGACCCCGAGGCTCCTTCCAGATCTGAGACAGCCATAGATTTAGGCCCAGCTTTTCTCCTAAGCTCCAGTCTCCCTTTGCCATCCCCATCTGCAAATCCACTCTTTTTTTCCCAGCCTCGGGACCGAGGCCTAACATCTCTTCCTCCGTGGCATCTGTGCCAGCTTCCCCAGTGTTTTCCATGCCCTTTGTTGCCATCAGTCCATTCCTTTTATTATACTTCTCTACATATGCTGTGGCCCTGTTAGAAGGTTCTTAGATTTAAAGCTTAAAGGGGCCTCACTGCATCCAAAACCCTCACTTTACAGATGAGGAAACTGAGGCTGAGAGAGACAAAGGGCCTTTCCCAGGGTTGCACAACAAATGTGTGATGTAGAATTTGGACTCAAGTCTTCCTGACTCCAAGTGCCCTGCCCACTCCGCCACACTGTTATCAGTGAATGGAAGCTTCTTTAGTACATGTTCATTTTATAGCCCCACTGCCTGCTTTATAGTTAGTAGATTCTTTTTTATGTTTTTTTTTTATTTTTATTTTTTAGGCAATTGGAGTTAAGTGACTTGCCCAGGGTCATACAGCTAGTAAGTGTCAAGTGTTTGGTCTGAGGCTGGATTTGAACTCAGGTCCTCCTGACTTCAGGGCTGGTGCTCTATCCACTGCGTCACCTAGCTGCCCCAAATTAGTAGATTCATAATGTTTTTAATAGAATTTTGTATTATTGTTGCTGACATTTTCTCTCAAAATTTTTTTCATATTCTTTGAATTTTTCTTGTTGTTCAAAGCCCAAGATAGCGTTAAATAGCAAAATGAGGAGTTCTGAACAATATCTTTGGAGCAAGAGGCAGGATGGCAGAGTGGGCGTTGAGAGCTGGTCTTGGGAGTCAGAAAACCTGGGTTCAGGTTCAGCTTCTAACACCCACTGAGCTCAGTGATCCCAGGAAACTCCGAGGCTGTACCTCTCAGAGATAATTGGGGATTTGCACTGATAGAGAGAAGGGGTTTTCTTGTCACTTCTCTCAGGGAAATCCCAGGTCCTGTCCGTTGCTGGAGGGGAAGCATTACTGACTTGACATCAAAATTGAAATACAGAGTTTTCCGTAAAGTTCTTCTATGGTGCTGCTCATTCTGTGGAGCTAACTTGGATTCCTGAAGCATGAGCCAGTGAAGTGCAAGCTCTGGGAGGTCCTAGTAAACTCTGAAAAGCTTAAGTGTAAATCTGACAGGGCCCTCCTCTGAGGAAGGGCCTCTGAGGCTGAAGAACTCTCAGGGCAGTCTCTGCATGACTAGGAATGCCTCATAATGTGCCCCCAGAATCCTCTTCTACCTCTGCCTGACCACTTCCAGTGAGAGCAGATGTCTCCACGACCTCTGGAGGCAGTCCCTTCACTCTGGGTCCACTCTCGTCATTAGCAAGTGGCTCACTTCTCAAGCTGTCACCTGCCTTGGGGCCCTGGTCTGCACAGTCTGACTAAGTTAGGAGCGGCAGCCAACGAGTCATGAGTGCCTTTGGACACAACTCACTGAACCCTTGTTGGCAGCATGGAGGGGTTCCAGCACGCATCAGCAGAACACATGGTCACTGGGAGAAAATCGTGCATATTTCAAGTGTGGAGAACTCTGAGATACACAAGAACTTGGCACCGTATTGGCCCCTCAGAGTCAGGGGAATGATTTGCCAGCTTCACCTGCTGTTTAAAGTCTTAGTGTTTGGGGTTTCTATTGAATTTGGTTAACTGAAGTCGGCTCAAAATTTTTAGCCCTTGTTTTCAAAGTACCAAAAAATCATTTTATAAAGCTAGAGAAAAATAGCAAAATTCATCTAGAAGAATAAAAGGGCAATATCAAAGGAATCAGTGAAAAAATGTGAAGGAAGATAGCTGAGTCGTACTAGATCTCAAACTGTATTATAAAGAGTTAATCATCAAAATCATCTGGTACTGGCCAAAAAACTAGAGGTCAATCAGTGGAATAGATTAGGTACACAATATATTGTAGTAAATAACCATAGTAATTTAGTGTCTGAATACCCCCAAAATCCAAGCTTTTGGGACAGAAACTCATTATTTGACAAACTGCTGGGAAAACTGGAAAATAGTGTGGCAGAAACTGGGTATAGACCAACATCTCACACTGTAGAGCAAGATGAGGTCAAAATGGGTGCATGATTTAGACTTGAAGGGTGATACCATAAGCAAATTAGGAGAGCAAGGAATACTTTACCTGTCAGATCTATGGAGAAGGGAAGAATTTAAGACCAAACAAGATGTGGAAAGCATTATGAAATGTAAAATGGATATTTTTGATATAAACACTATATTAGTTTACTTTCTAGCCTAATCAGGATGTTCCAAGACCTCAGGCTCACTGTTCTGACAAAATAAATCTTGTTAGCAGAGCTATTGCTCAGAACACATGGAGTTAAAGAACACTTTTTCTTGAGTTTCTCTAGCCCAGACTCTCAGTTGGCAGAGTAAGGTAACTAAAGCCAGAGAGGATGAGTGGCCAGGCAAGCAGCATGTCAGGCCTCCTCACTCCATCATTCTGCCTGTGAATTGTTCACGCCAGGTTTGGGAGAGCTGATGCTGAGCCAGGCTGAAGTCTGGAGTGGGCCTTTCTGAATAGACTACGTTCCTGCCTGTAGTTCGTGTTTTCTTGGCAAGTTTCAGTTAGTTCCTGCTTCTGGCCCACATGGGCTTCTGATCAGTGCAGATCTGACTGTGGCCACAAGGGGACTTTTAGTTCCCCATTACCCTTCATTCTCTCAGGGTTTCTGTATGAAAGGTTGGCCCAAGCATGTACTTGTGAACTGTTATCGACGGAGTCCAGGGGGTGACATGTTAGAGCTCTGGAATAACTCATCGTTCTCGGGGGCACACAGAGCCACTAAGCATGTCCATGTGTTTTCTGTTACAATTAGCTGCTAGATTGTGATCAGGAGCTTTACAAGAACTTTCCTCTGGTAATCTCTGAACGCTGGCAGCAGGAGGTGGCTGAGACAGTCTACGAGGCGGTGAATGCAGACACAGATAAGATCGAGGCCAGGAAACGGGCCAAAAATAAGCAGCTTGGCCATGAAGAAGGTAAACTTGTTCATGTTTCTTGGGACCTAATTTATCTCCTGAATTCAAAGTCTCCTGGTGCTCCTATGGTCCAGATTTTTGTGTGCCTTGAAATTATGTATTTTTGTATGCTTTGAATTAGCTGCTTTTGCTAAAATACCTAGGGCCCCATCCCCCTGCTCTCAGACCTTTTTTATCTTTCATTTAGCCAAAAGGAATATCCTGATGCCTGGTCTTCCCCGAGCCCTAAGCATGGAGCCCCTGGAGCATTTTCTCCATGTGCGGCTTCGGTCAGTCCACTGCTGGGCTCAGAAACCTTTTTGTGGCTCCTGTCTGCTTCCCCAGTGAACTCCAGTCTCCTTAGCTGGGCAGCGGGGGCAGCGGAGCCCCCTCCAACCCCACATGTATACTTTAGGCTCCAGCCATATCTTGAACACATCCCTCCCCTGATGGCTGGCGTGGAGCTCGAGACACTTCCCATTCCAGCCTCTCGAAATCCTGCCTGTTATTCAGTATTCAGCTGCAATGCCATGTTTTCCCTCTCTGAGTCACCTTCCTCATGGTACCTCCAGCAAGACCTTTGCCTTCCCACTTCAAATTCTGTGCAGTGCTTCTTAAACTATGAGTCACAACCCCATAATTTGGCAACAGTAAAAGGTTTCTGAATGCACAGTGACCCAAGTTTAATTAAAAATCAAACGTGGAATGAATCTGAGGTGTTTCTGGAGCGTTTGTCCAGTCACAACTTCGCTGCAGCCTTGGTTCTGAGCACACAGGTTGCGCACTTTGCATCATGCGTTCCCTCAGACCGTGCAAAGCCAGCAAACCCTGCTTCAGAGGGGTCGTGAGTGGAAAAAGTTTAAGAAGCCCTGTTTTATATGTGGTCCATTATAATGTGAAACACATTATGCCAAATTTATATGATTTTTACAATTGTTGACCAGCGTTTATTAAGTGCCTACTAGGTGTCAGGCAGCATGCTGAGCACTTTATAACCATGACCTCATTTGATCCTCAGGTAGGTGCTGATATTATTCCCATTTTGTAGTTGAGGAGACTGAGGCAAACAGAGGTGAAATGACTTGCCCAGAGTCACCCAGCTAGTGTCTGAGGCTGAATTTGAACTCAGGTTTCCCAGACTCCATCTGGTTCACATGTAAGGTGCTTAAATATTTTATTCAGCCCCAGTACCTTTGTTTGACCTTTGTGGTGGGGTAAATTATGGGAGTTAAAGTTTCTGTGTTCCTGCACTGCAGCCCTGGAGTTGTAGGGGCTGGCAAAGGGAAGTCATGCTGGGAGCTGCCGGGAGAGATGAACCAGTGTCAGGACAGGATCAGAATCCTGGCTCGGATACTTTCTGATGGCTGCCTGAGCAAGGGCAAGGCCCGTGAGGAGGCTCTTTACCCAGAAGTCTTGTGTTCTCCCCTTGTGCCGACAGCCGCACTGGGCTGCTGTGTTAGTGTTACAGGGTTGAGAACAGGACTGCCCGTGATCACTTAGCTTGGAAGAGGCTTCACAAACAGGCTTGTTCTTCCTTTTGTTGACATATGGCAGTATTTGGAAATCATTTCCTATTTTCAATCAGTCACCAGTTCTGCTGGCCTTTCAGCACCTACTGTGTGCCTCGTGCTGGAGTTTAGACCTGTGGAGCTCCCAGGGGAGAGAGCCCCTCTGTCAAGGCAGCAGTTGGGCATCTTAAGTGCCATCCTCCCTGTCATATATAGCCTTACAGAGCTGCCCAGAGCAGTTGGGGTCTCTGGGGTGGTGGCCTGGTGACGTAAAAACCACACAGTCGCATTACCTGTATTGTTTGCCATTTACCGGTTACGTTTTCCTCTGATGAGGGCTGTGTGGGGAGAACAAAGGAGAAATAGACAAGAGACGGAAATGACAGCATTCAGCAACTTAGGGACTATGGGGTGGGGGTGGGGTGAAGCCGTTGGTCAGGGAGTCCATCTTTGGCAGAAGGACAGCGCTGCCTAAAGAAGGAATGGGGGGTTGGAGAGGAATGGATTTGAAGGGAAAGAGGAGGACCTTGTTTGGGGCACATTGAGTCTGAGATGCCAGTGGGACTTCCATTTTGAAATGTTCAGTAGGCAGTTAGTGATATCATGCTGGAGCTTAGGAGGGAGACTAAGGTTGGACAGAACGGGTTTGGTGTCATCACGATGGAGGTGGATCACCGTGTGAGAGAGTAGTGGGAAAGAAAGAACGGTGCCCAAGGAAGAGCCTTGGGTCCACTCAAAATGAATAGGCACAGCGTGTGTGAGTACCTAGCAAAAGAGCCTGAGAAAAGTGGTTAGAGAGGAGAGAGCAGGGTCACAAAACTCAGAAAGGATCAATCATCCAGGAGGAGGAGGTGATGGAGAAGTGACACAGGTGACATTTAGGTCAGGAGGAGCGAGGATTGAGAGAAGGCCATTGGGTGTGGAATGAAGAGCTCGGGGGAGCTTGGGAGAGGAGGGCAGGCTCAGGGGGATGAGGAGGCTGGAAGCCAGACTGCGGAGAGCCAAGAAGAGGGTGAACAGAGAGGAGAAGCAGCTAGTGGGGACGGCTTTCTCAAGAGGTTCAGTTGAGAATGAAGGAGAAGTAAGTTGTGTTTTCAAATTCTCAGCGAAGTTTTTTTTTTTTAATTTTCTGGAATGGTAAATTCTTTTGAAATTTTATCGGGATCGTGAGCAGTTTTTAATCATTTGGCAACACATATGTATTTTGTATATGCTTATGGGCAGCTAGGTGGCTCAGTGGATAGAGCACCAGGCCTGGAGTCAGGAAGACTCCTCTTCCTGAGTTCAAATCCTGCCCCAGACACTTCTTAGTTGTATGACCCTGGGCAAGTTACTTCACCCTGTTTGCCTCAGTTTCCTTATCTGTCAAATGAGCTGGAGAAGGAAACGGCAAACCGCTCCAGTATCTCTACCAAGAAAACCCCAAATGGGGTCGTAGAGTGTTGGACACGACTGAAAAACAATTGGACAACAGCAGCAACATATTACAGGCATATTCTTGAGGGCCAGAATTATTCTGGGTTAGTCTTCGTGTCCTTGGTCCTTGTGCAATGCCTGACACATAGTAGGTGCTTAAAAAATTCTTGTCAATTGCTTGGTATATAACACTTTAGCTGTTGTAATTTGAGTTTAATTTGTGGAATTTAAATTTTCCAAGAGAAGCTGTAATACATCTTTGTTTGTAAATGACATCTTAATGGCTATTCTCTGATTTGCTTCTGTCTTATGTCTTCACAGATTATGCCTTAGGGAAGGACTGTACTTTACACGGATACATGTTGAAACTGGGAAATCCATTTTTGACGCAGTGGCAACGTCGTTATTTTTACCTCTTTCCAAACAGACTTGAGTGGAGGGGGGAGGGAGAATCACGGGTAAGTCCAAAAGGACCTGTGAGCCCTTATTTTTCTAAGATCACAACGACATAGTTGTGAATCCCAAAGGACATTTTGATGGAGGATACTTCAGGACTAGTGGTGTGCTCGAAGGCTCCTTTTCCTGTGTACGGGGGGCTGAAACGAAAGTGTATACCAAAGTATACGTGAAAGTTTAATGCCCAAATAATATTTTTTTAACTACTTAGAAATAAAATAACTAAACTGTTCTTTTCAGTAAGTCAGCATTTATTGAGCATTTACTCTATACCAAAGACCTATATTAGACATGAAAGGTAAGCAGAGGACATGGAAGAAGACGCTGCTGCTTCCTCCAAGGAGCCCAGGACATCCCGGGGAGACTACAGAGTGACAGGTTGAGAGGTAGAAGGGCCCGCTGGGGGCCTTCACAGAACGTTTTTCTTGAATAAATAAACATAAACTAATTGATGACAGAAATATTTCATTGCCTAACCTAAGTCCTGATTCAGATGACAGCCTTTCATTCTCAGTGACTGTCATTTCATGCTGTCATATTTCTTTTGTGGTCTGGCTAAATCACTCCACCATGAGTGGTTTAATGGGAGTGAGGTGTGTATTTTTAGCAGTTAATGGCTTCTAGGCTGTGAGGTTACCATTTATGAATAACTGCCCTTGGGAATTGATTGGAACTTAATGACCAATCTGTGTTCCACAATTCTAAAAGTGACTTAATTCAGGAGGCTCGAGCTCCTGTTCAGCACCAAGACTTATCTTGACACATTATTTCAGCAGTGAATTACACATGGTAATCAGGTACCTCTGGCCATCAGGGACAGAGATTTTAGAAAGAGTGCTTTGCCTGATCTTGAGGGAGCTTACACCCTGTCTTACTGGGGCTTCCCTAAGTCAGGGTCTTTTCTCCTACATTTGGAACATTTCAAATCTAAACTATCTAAGCAATGATGAAGAATTTGGCTTTCTTAACTCTAGGATGCAGATTTTTTTGCTTTTGTATTTGCTTTTGTCTTTAACTTTTGTGTTCCCTGAGGGACTTTTCAAGACACTTCATTGGAATTCAGGGACAAGGCCTGGGCCTGTGATTCATTGCTATAGGGACCTCTCAGGTGAAGAAGTCCTCCACCAGTTCGAGTGGGTCGGGTCTCTGCAGTCACCTGGGGCCCACAGAGAGGGGGAAGGGACGTGGGTCAGCCTCAGGGTCACAGAGTCAGCACGTCAGAGATAGGGTGGAGACCTGAGACTTCTTGGTGTTGGGGCTGGCTCTCAGGCCATTATGCCGTGCTCATCTGAGGTGGAATTTGCTTTTTAGTATAATAACAACAATTCACATTTGCATGATAATTCTATATTTATCCCAGTGCTTTAGCTTAATTCAACTTATCAAGCATTTATTGAGTGTCTACTACATGCAGAGGCACTGTGCTAGACACTGGGAACACAAAAGCTACCCTGTAGGGCCCATGTTCTCGCGGCCACCATCCAGAGATGAGTAAATGAATCCAGGGGCGTTTCAGGGGGGTGGCTGTCCTCCCCACACTGAACAGGGACAGGTGGCCCTTGAACGAAGATGGGAGGAAGTTAAAGATTCTGAGAGGTTGCCATGAGGTGTGGGGGATGGGAACTGGAAGACGGGGTTTGGGGCATCTCCAGGATGTCAGTTTGGCAGGACCGGAGAGTGAGTAAAGGGGAGACATGGGACATGAGTTAGCAAGAACAAGCTGATGGTGACGGGGGAAGCAGTTTCAGTACCACGCAGAGGCAATGGTATTAAGTCCTAGACCCACGGGGAGCCAGGCAGAGTTTTCAAGTGGGGGAAGTGATTTTGGCAGTGATGTAGGAGATGGTTTGGATATGGGAAAGGCTGGAAGCAGGGAGAAGGAAGATGTGGGTGTGAGAGTTGTCCAGGGGAGAGAGGAGGAGGCCTGGACTCGGGTGGCTGGCTGTGTAGACAGAAGGGTACAATGGATGGGTCTTGGCAACTGCAGGTGGCAAACCTGAGTGACAGCAAGGATTCAGCTTCCCTAAAAAAAGAATTCCAACAGCTTCTCGTGCTGCCTGTGTGGATCTGTACAAGAAGATGCTTCTTCTGAAAGCAAACTTGGCTAGAACCTTTGGGCCTCAGCTCCTTTTCTGCCAAGTGAGATGGAGTCAAGTCAAGGGATCAGGCATTTATTGAGCACCTTCTATGTGCCAGGTGCTGTGTGACGTGTTGGAGAGCAAACAAAAGGCCAACCCCTCCCCCACAACCTCCCCCCCCGCGCAAAAAAAAAACCCAAAAATGCAGTAACGATCTGTCTGCTTTCAGGGAGCTCACAGTTTAGTTTGGGGAGACAGCATGCAAACAGTAAGCTATATGGAGAGTAAATTGGAGCTAATCAGTAGAGGGAAGGCATTAAGGATGATTGGGAGAAGCTTCTTGTGGAGGGTTGGTTTGAAGCTGGGACTTAAAAGGGAGCTAGGGAAGCCCAGGAGGCAGAGAAGAGGTGGGAGAGCATTCCAGGCATGGGGGACGGCCAGTCAGCACATGGAGCGTCTTATGTGAAGAGTAATGAGGGGGTGAGTGTCTCCTGTATGGGGGTGAATGAGCTGGAAGATTTTACATTTGATCCCAGAGGCAATAAGGAGCCTCTGGAGTTTATTGAACATGGAGGTGGTGTGGTCAGATCGGATGGTCAGTTTGACACCTGAGTGGAGGCTGGACTGGAGTGGGGAGAGACATGAGAGGAATATTAGCCTGCAGCCACGGCAGTGGTCCAGGTGTGATGAGGGCCTGCCCCAGGGCACTGGCAGCGTCAGGAGAGAAGGGGCATTACAGAGGTCGAATCAGGAGATTGGCCATGAAAAGGAGTTAGGGGTCAAGGGTGGCCCCCTCACTTGTGAGCTTGAGGGGGAGGGGACTGGTAGGATGGTGGTGCCCTCGATGTTGATAGAGAAGTTGGAGAGAGGGAAAGTTTGGGGGCAAAGATGGTGAGTTCAGTTTCAGGCATATTGAGGTTTACAGCCATCTGTGGGACATCCAGTCTGAGCTGGGGAGAGAGACCAGGGCTGGATGAATAAGGATGAGGCCAGCTCTCTAGTCAGTTTGCCACATCGCTTCTGAATTGGAATCCACTCTTTAATAACAGTAACTTAGATCTGAGAATCGTTAGCTTGAAGGTGATGCCGCACATTTATGGGGGCTGATGAGGTCACCACGAGAAATAGTGCAGAAGGAGAAGGGAAGAAGGCCTCCAAAGAGCCGGGAGGATAACCACGGTGAACAGGCACGGCCTGGACCAAGGTCCAGCCAAGCAGTCTTGGGCAGGTGAGAGGAGAACCAGGAGAGCAGAACCTAGGGAGAAGAGGGTGGCACAGAAAGGGTATCGACGGCATCAGAGGCTGCGGAGAGGCTGAGGAGAACGAGCATCTGGAAGAGGCCGCTGGGGAGGAAGGGAGGCCCGTGTAACTTCTGGGGACTTTGACTACAAAAGGGAGGAAAGAGGTAGAAAACAGCTTAGGGATGTAGGGATCAAACGAGGGGGTTTTGAAGATGAGACACGGGTGTGTTTATCAACAGGAGGGAGATCCAGCCCAATCCAGTCAACATTTATTAAGTGCTTGCTGTGTTCCAGGCACCATGCCAAGTGCTGGGGATGCACTTAGTAAAAAGAAAGAGTCTGTGCTCTCTCAAGGAGCTTCCATTCTAAAAGGGGAGACAACACCCAGAAGGAGTCAGGAAAGTAGAGATGGGGGTGGGGATGGGACTCCAGGGGGCCCCTGGTCCTCCCTCTACTCCAGCCCTCTTGTGAGAGGAGAGAGGAGGCCGAGGGAGGTAAGGTCCATTAAGGCTTGAGTTTCAGCCAAATGGGGATGAGTTGAAATTAGGCAGAGCAGCAGATGTAGAGAGCAAAGGGGAAGAAGAAGAAGAAGAAGAAGAGGGTGTGGAATGGGGTCACTTGTGCAGACAGAAGAGTCAGCCTCCATAAGGAGGGGTCCACCCCGTCATGAGACACGGGTAGAGTAGTGGCGGAAGCATGTGGTAGTGTGAGATGGGAGAGAAAAGGCAGTGAGGAGTGGCGCTGTCAAGATCAGAAAGGGAAGATGGGCCAGAAAGTGCAAGGGTTACTGCCCAGGAAGACCTTAGAAGCAGAGGGATCTGCGGTCTCTTCATGACAGAGGGAGGGGTGGGATGACTGCAGATTGTGCTCAGATGAGAACATCTTAGAGTTCATGAACATGGAAAGAGCGCATTTGTGGGTGACGACAAGATCGAGGGTATGACCATCTCTGTGTGTAGCTCCGGTGAGGTGCAGGAGCTGTTGTCGGTAAATAAGTCAGTCAAGGAACTGGGAAGTTAGGGTGTTTGAGGGAATATCGACATGGATGTTGAAAGGCCGGTAGGATAAAGATAGAATTTGGGGAGGATGGAGACTGAGCCTGTCACTGACCTCATTGGGAAAGGAGCGTGTCCAGGGGGCCCCCCCAACTGGAGTTCAGTAACAGGGCAGGTGAGGAAACAGCCCCCCCTTCCCAGACTCAGAATCAGCCTGCAAGCATTTATTCCGTGCTTACTTACTAAGAAAAATAGAAGTGGCATCCCTCCTCTTACAGAGCTCATTCTAAGGGAGATGAAAACTTGCAAACAGCTCTGCCTCTCAGTATAAACAGGTAATCTCTGAGGAAAGACACTGGCAGGTGAGGGTTGGGGAGATGGCCCAGAAAGGTCTCCTCCAGGAGGCAGGACCTGTCCAAGCCTGAGGACCGCCAGTGCACGGGCCCCAGGGTGCGAGGTGGCGCATCACGTGTGAGAGCCAGCATCAGAACCCTGGAAGATGGGGTTGGGACAGGGACTAGGTTGTATGGATCTCTCATTGCCAGACAGCATTTTGTATTTGGTCCTGGAGGTGACAGGGAGCCACTGGAGTTTGAGCAGGGGGTGCCTCGGGGAGACTTGGGCTGGAGGAAGATCACTTTGGCAGCTGAGGATGGAGTGAGGTAGAAGAGGCAGGATTTCAAGGCCCTCTGCTCCGACCTCCTGGTTTTGCAGCAGAGGAAACTGAGGCTCAGAGCTTGACTGAGTTCTCACAGATAGCCTGGGGCAGAGGCAGCGTTTGAGCTGCAGCCCTGCACCTGTGCACTGCTGGCTTTCTCTGCTTAGACTAGTCAGGCTCTCCAGACCTTCGGTATCTCAGGAGACGGGCCTGCGCTACAAGTGTATTTCAAAGTGTAAATCAAAGGAGATTAGAAGCCTTAATTTACCCACGAAACATGGAATTCTTGTTACAGGTGGCTTGCGTTTCTAGAGGGACGGGGTAGCTTTTCATGGTGTTGTTTTTCATTTAGGACTCCTGGAGTATTTATTCAAAAAAACATAAGCTGGTAAGGTACTGCAAAGCTATAGCATTCAGCACCATTAACAATGCTATAATCCAGCGTGTGGGAGTCTCTGGAGGGCGTCATCTCTGCACTCGTTGTCATCCTTTTGTTTTATCTTCATCTTTGTATTTTTCCAAGCTGCCTCTTCCTTCACTAAAACCTCATTGATCAGCTTTGTTTAAGTCACCTGCACTCCCTGATGGGTTCCTCCACATGGGCTGATAGCGAGCACAAATGGAGTGGAGGGAGGGGTCTGTCAATGGTGCAGAAGAGATGCAGATTTCATTGAGGGGACAGCTTGGCTCTTTTGCCCAGAATGTCTTTTTTTTTTTCCACCTGCAGTGTTTAAAACAATTTTTGACCTCTTGCTTACATTTCTTTGTAGCTATTTTCTTCACCTTGAGCACGAAGGGAGAACAAAAGACCATAAGTCTGTGATTTTCTTTTGCATTTTTTCAAAGCAGCTAGATTTTCAGGATGCATTTTGAGGTTCAACTTTAACAGTTTGAAATTTTAAAGACACTTTTTTTTTCATAGCAAAACCTAGTGACAATGGAACAGATTGTGTCAGTGGAAGAAACTCAGATTAAAGACAAAAAATGCGTTTTGCTGAGGATAAAAGGAGGAAAACAACTGGTCCTACAGTGTGAGGTGAGTCATGAAAAACATTTGGTGCAACCTAGAGCAGGCAGAAGAGATAAACCATGTAATGACCTTTGGGTGTTTGTGCAATGGTCTTGAGGCTTTGTGTTCAATGATTTACAGAGCATGCTGGGGCCTGGCTTCGAAGGAAACTGGCCAGAAACCAAAGCACTTGGGAGAAAATAGTCCCAGGGGGAGGTGAGATCATTCTCATGCTCCCCTGCACTCCCAGGCCTCCTCTGAGGCCTCATTCTATGGCACAGTGGAGAAAACACTGGATCCGAGTTCAAATCTGGCTTCAGACACTGACTCTTTGTGTAATCCTGGGCAAGTCCCTTCACTTTTATGAGCGTCTGTTCCCTTATCTGTAAAATGGGACAATAATAGCGCCTCCCTTCCAGGGTTGTTGTGTGGCTCAAATGAAATAATGTCTACAAAGTGCTTGGCAAACTTTAACTTGCTCTAGAAATTCCAGCTCTTCTCAGTGGGAGCAGAGTGTGGGAGGCCACGTACGTTTTTAATTCCAGGAGTACTTTCTGGATTCTCCAAAAGCTCCTGCTTTTCTTTCCCCTTGAAATTGTGGTGATAGAGCTTTGTCCCTCTTCCTCATTGAGTCTCAGCTCCTTGGGAACATTTTTGTGAGAGAAAGAGAGAAGGGGTTCACGGTAGCTCAAGATTTCAGGAGTCTGATTTCCCTGCCGTGGATACAGGTTAGTTCACAAGCGTTTGATAGGCCCTCCGTATGTGTCAGGCCCGTGCTAAGTATCGCAGACACCAAGAAAGGCCAAAGAAAGACAGTGCCTCTTGCCAAGGAGCTCACAGCCTAATGGGGAGGACGGTGTGCACGCCGCTGCGTCCAAGCGAGCCACTCTGCCTCTAAGAAAGAGTCTTTCCAAGTTGCTGCGGCTGGAAAGGTGATCACCTCGTGTTCAGCACGCTGACGTCCCCTTCCTCTTTACCTGGGCCAGTCCTTGGACACACCGTCTGTCACTTGGCCCTGACTCAGTGGTTTTCTGGCATGGTAGTACCTACCTCTCATAGCTCATCCTTCGTGGCCATAACCTTTAAGAACCCATGATCGTTGTCCTGCTGCCGCAAGACATTTCACAAGTTCTTTTATTGTGAAGTTTGGATTCAGTCAAAGGGCCAAACTTGAGCACCCAGAGGGCCACGGATTCCTCACCCCTGTTCTAGACAATACCACTTTCTGTGCATTTAATTTTTCCTGAGTATAGATCACTAGGCCAGTGTCTTTGGAGTAATCTAGAATCTTGTTGAGTTAGCCCTTGATATCCTTGGGCTTGATGCCATCAGTACAGCATCATCTGTGAACAGGAACATCTGGAGCACCCAGTTTCTTCTTAAGCCCTATGTAGGACATTCCCCATGCCAGTGGCAAACACTTTTAGCGGGCATCCATCACCCGGTTTCATGCCTCACTTGAAAATGCTGATCAGAGATGTATTGTCCTCTGTGGTTCCAAGAAATTGATATGTCAAGAAGTCATCTTAGCAGGACCCTCACAGCCGTGCTTTGCTCTTGGGTCTCCTGGAGAGAGAAGCCTAATTGACACTTCAATAGGGTCTTCCCTTCTCTCCACATTTCAGTCCGTTATGGGACTGGACAATCACAGGATCAAAGGGACCTCAGAGTCCAGCCCTCTTACTTTAAAGGGGAGGAGGCAGAGGCCAGAAAGGGTAAGTGATTTGCCCAAAATCTCATGGGTACTAAGTGACAGAGCTAGGGTTCAAACCCAAGAAACACACGTTCTTCTGCTTCCTGGGATTAAGATGGTGACCTTGACTTCTTGAAAGTTGTGTGTGCAGAGGGCCCTGGCAGATGTGCCCCGAGCTGGTAAGGCTTTCAGCGTGGGCTCAGCAGCGGACGATGGCTTTCTTCTGCTGACCAGCCTAATTCAGACCCCAGATGCTCATTCCCAGAAGCTTGGTCACTGTGTAGTACAGTTTGTGGAGGGAGCCCCCATTCTGGCAGCACTCACTGCTGCTTCCATTGAGCATCGTAGAGGAGGGCGCCATGTTGTTTTGTAGACTTTTGCTGAGAGCCCTCTGAAGGCTCCTAGGAGTCTAGGATGGCGTCTCTGGTCGGGCTCTAAAGGGAGAAACCTTTGGAGGTCATTCTCTTTCTCAGGTTCCAGCCTTCATGGTATATCAGTGATTCTTAAGAACTCTCTTAGTAAAGTGGGTAAATGTATAACCATTTCTGCATTTTCTTTCTCTTTTAGAGTGACCCTGAGTATGTGCAGTGGAAAAAAGAATTGGTAGAAACCTTTACGGAGGCCCAGAGGTTATTAAGGCGGGCTCCAAAGTTCCTTAACAAACCTCGACCGACTGTCGTGGAGCTTTCGAAGCCTCCACTCAGCCACAGAAACAGCAATGGCCTTTGACATGAAGGGACTCTTATGAGAGACTGTGAGCGCCACAAAGTACTGTGTCCCCACCCCCACGCAGGGCGTCATGTGGAAGAAGAGGGCACAGAGCTGGGAGTTTGGGCACAAGCTCGTTGGCTGGCCTGGACGGCAGCTGTGATGACCAGACAAGGAAGCAGAGGAGTTCTCAGTGACGGGAACCAAGTGTTCGCACGTGGTGCGGTGGCCGCTTCTCACTCTCATGTCATTACACCCTGGCGGTGTTGGGAATCGCCCATTCTTTTAAACTACTGAAGAAATGAAGATTTTGTTTTCTTTGCTACACACTTTATTTTGGTCTATACTGAACCTAGAACTTGAAGTGGTTACTACTTAGCCCTTAAATTTTGACGTTCAATATCCAGCCTATCTCCAGATCTTCTCAGGAGGAGCTTGGGACCGACAGTGTGCAATGGTAGATTGCCTTCCATGTTACCGTAGTGGATCCGGCCTTGCTGGTGTGATCTGTCTTTGCTCCGTACTCCTGGTGACAAACAACCATGTGATTCTCTGATGCCCTCAGACACTGTCTTCTTTTTGTCTGGGGCTACAAGGTGTAGATTCTTTATGAAAAGTCTAGACTTTGGCCCAGCTCATTGTTTGTTGTACTCACACATACTAGCTGCCACTGTCGTCCTTGTGACTTGGGGGTCTAGCAGTAACCATTGAGGAAGGGGGAATTAGAGGAGCAGAATGTAGAATTCTGTTTATCAGTTAGCGATGTAAGCAGTTTTGGAATGGATTTTTGGGGTGGTTGACGGTGAACTTGAAGGCATTTTTTTTTTCAAATTCAGGGCAAATTGCACTTTTAAAAAAAACCTTTGAACCTATTATGCCCCAGTGGACATGCTGAGGTAGCCACGGTGGGGCTCTGGTACGCATTCTTCGAAGTAGTTCTTTGCCTGTCTTTTTGACAGTTGGATTTTTCTGCATTTAAAAAACGAGTGACCTTTCAACACAGTGATTCCAACTCTTCATTCTCACTGGTCCCTCCAAATGTGTGTCCGTGAGAGGTGATGTCATGTGACGAAGAAGAACTCATGTTGCTGTTTGCATTTTTTTATAGAATGAAAATTTTTATTAACAGGTGTTAAAATTATGAAAAGTGAGTGTCCCAAGTGGGTTTTAAAATACATACGTACATACATACATACATACATGTCCACTTTCTTTGCATAATACCATTCATACGCCCTAAGCAAATTTATTCTGCACAGCAGGCTATAATAGTCTATTAGCGATGCCGTGGCTTGGAGGGCTGGGCCAATTCAGGAATCTTCTTCCTGGTTACCTGTGACTTATTTCCTCTGTTCTGAGACGCTCCTTCTGTGCCCCTTTCATGCACAAAACAAACTCTCCATTCTCAGAACTGTTTTTCTTCATAGCAACGTGCCAAGTGCCAACAGACTCAAGAAATGGTGTAGAAAGTCACTTCTCTTTTGTGTGTGCAATTGTATCATGCCTGTGAAAAGAACTAACAGTTTGAATAACCCTCCCCTCTGCTCTGCCTTCCCCTGCCATTGCCCCTCGAGGTTTGCAGGGGTGCCATGCATGTATGTGTGAGCACTGCGTGAGCCACAGAAGGGGGTCCCTTTAATGCAGTGACAGTGCGGAGGCTCAGGGATGGCTTAAGAGCCACTGAGAACTGGTTTTAGTGTTTGCTGAAAACATGCTTACATTATTAAAAGAAATATGTTTACATCAGATGACAGAATCCTAAGCAATATGCTTAACTTTTTAAAAGTGGCATATTCCCAGATACTTTCATGGAGACTCCATTTAACCACAGCTGTATAACTACCCTCATTGCAATTTGGTCCCCAAGTGGTTGTGTGCAAACAGTGACATTAAAGGCATTGAGCCCCACCCTGCCTTGGTAAGGCAGGCCAGGTGCCAACCTTTTACTTAGAGACTCCTCTGGGCCCTCTCGGGGCTGTCCTTAGCAACTATGGGCACCAGTGGCCTTGCTGTCCCAGTGTGTCCAGAGAGGGTCAGGGTATCTATAGAACAGAAGCAGCTCCCCATCCTGGCTGGGGGATCACGCCCCGCCCTCAAAGGGGTTGATAGAATGCCCAAGGATACCTTCATTTTTCAAACTCTGAGCTAAAAGGTGGCCTAAAGAGGCCTTTGGCTTTGATGGGATAAGTCTTATTTCAAACTCCTGTTAGACACTTCCACAATTCACACTTGGGTTCTAGAACCATGTCCAAGAGGAATGAGAAGTAAGCAGTAACAATTAGGAGCAAGTGATGGGACCTCTGAAGTCTCATCTAGTGGTCCTTGCTCCCCTCAGTGTCACACACAGATTTGTTTGGAAAATGTTAAACCTTGAGGGATGATGGGAAGTAACCCTCTCATTTTACACACAAGGAAAATGAGGCCCAGGGGAATGAAAGGATTTGTCCCGGTGCAGGAAGTGAGTCAGTGGCCGAGCTTTTTATCTCCAATCTGCTCTCTATTGTTATCCCATTGCTTGATCTGGAATGGGGGATTTGCAGAATCAGAATAGGAAAAATTGTCTTTATTATGTTCCTTGCTGCCCAGGGTGCTAAAGAGGGCATTCATTTTCCTTTGCCATTTTTACCTCTCTACCTTAAACAGGATTGTTATGATCCAGCTATCAAATCCCTTGACATTTGCCCCCTCCCCTCACATCATTAGGGTTAAAGTTCAGTTAAGTGAGCCTGTAATTTTTAAAAATTTTGTCTCATTGCAAAGTTAAGTTCCTAAATTTTATTTCATCAGCTTTTATTTGATCTTTAAGATTCAAATGGTTCAATGTAGTTGTCTGTGAAGATAACCTAAAAACATGAGGAACAATTTAAAAATATTTGACCAATTGCTTCTTTATTCGATATTGAAAGGAATATTTAAATATGTCTAAAAAGATCTAGTTTTTTTCATAGTTGATATGTGATAATTTATGGAATTTATTTTTTTATCATTGCATTACTATTAATGTAAATTTTATTGATCTAAAATATCTTTTTTTTAAAGATTTTAAACATTTATTAACTCATTTCCTACTGTAATATTTGGGGCCACATTTTATTCAGTGCTTCAGAATAATTCTGGCTCAGGAATCAGAAGCGTGGGCTTCCAATTCCACCTCTGAGGCTTCCTCCTCTGTCAGCTTGGGCAAGTCACTTCTCCCCTGTGTGGGCCTCAGTTTCCTCATCTGTGTTCTGAGGGGTAGGGACTAGATGGGCTTGGAGGTCCGTTCTGGCCTCGGATCTGCTGTCCTAGAATATGTCTGGTGTGGTGATGGTTTTTCAGCTGAGTTTACAGAAATGGGCCAATTGCCATGAGATTACAAAGAAATTGTGTAACAGGGATGTAATGTGCATTGTAGTGACAACGTCTGCAGGCATTGAGGTCTCAGTGATTGAGACATACTGTGTGTAGGGGGAAAAAATCAAAATTTTATCCCTGTTCAGGTCAGGGTGGCAGCCTTCAGCTTCAGTGTGAGATATGCTGACCACACTTGGAGAGAGCCCAACTGGGCCTCTGTCAAATGTGCCTTAGACAAGGTTTTGAAACTGCCCCCGTGGGCGTGACGATCCGTCGAAGGGTTTGAGCCTTCACCTTAAGTAACATGTAACATTCCATTGGGGTGCAAATGCTGATGCTCCATGGAAGATGGGATTTTCTGGGATTGCCAAATAAGCACACTTCCCTATCAAAACCGTGCTGACATGTGACCCTTGTCTCAGCCCTTGAGAATCAGACCGTCCGCCCCAGGCTGCTGCTTTGGCCTCCATGTGGCCACGATATCACCAAGCTCCGTGCCACAGTTGTTAATGGGGCTGGACCAACCTAAAAGATCACAGTGTGTGCATGTGTGTGTATCTTCCCACTAATTCCCCTCCTCTCTGGAGGGCTGATGATGCCAGACCTGCCTATCTTTATAATGGGTTGTTTCTAATGTATGTCAGCATTTTTATGTGCCAGGTAGGAAGAAAAGTCTCCAAGTTTAGCTTTTTTCATGAAGACACTGTGTAAATCTGTATAGAAATTTATCATGTGAGTAGTGTAAAATATGCCATGTCTGCATTTGTGATGATCTGTGTATAGTCACAGTTATGTTCAGGGAACTGTGTTATGTATTCTACGTGCTGCTCTTAGTAACAAAGCCACCGCCTTTCTTCCTGGTCCCAGTGGTGCATGTGGGACTGAATTGGTTGCTCCCAGGGAGGCTTTGCCACTATCTTATAATAGTTTAGGGGTGGGGGTCAGAGAGGAATCATGGTTTGTAGAAATGGGGGCAAGGAAGAGACTTCATTTATAAGTAAACATAAACCCCCTTACATATCAAAGCACAAAAATAAATATTTGAAAATAATGGGTTTTTCTCTCCCTTTGGCTTTTTGTAAAGTGTTATAAGTGAGTGGTAATGTTCATGTTCTAATGTTCTTTTAGACTGTGAGCTTGTGAGTTTTGTGGGAGTCTGCGTGTGTGTGTGAGAGAAAGAGAGAGAGAGAGAGAGAGAGAGAGAGAGAGAGAGAGAGAGAGAGAGAGAGAGAGAGAGAGAGAGTGTGCAGTAGATGCGTCATTAATTCAGGTCCAGGAGCTTATCATCAGAGTACCCACACACAGGAAAAATAAACTCTAGAAATTCTTTGAAACTGACTTTCTTTTTCTTGAATAAGATGCAGCATTTCAGTGAATCCCCTAAAAATAGAGGGAAAATTTTTGTAGTTGTTAGTGTGTGTTTGGAGGAAGTCAGTGCTGACATTATCTCTATTAAACTAATTTGGAAATCCCACCTGGAGAATAGCACCATTTATTATTTATTGCCCAGTTTTTAAATATACTTTTTTTTAGATCTGTGTCAGATTACCTAAAGATAGATATGCAAAGGAGAAACTTGAATTCATAAGCATTTGAGTGTTGGCTTTAAATATGCCCAGTCCAGGCATTTCAGAGGATTAATTGAATTACAGATTTTCACTGTGTTGTATAAATACAGCTGGCAAAATTTTTTAGGGCAAAAAATATGGTGGATGTGCTAGCTTTGTTATATTTGAGTAGTTTTTTAATGTGCTAGTATGAATTCCTTCCTATAACATCTCCAATACAAAAGCTTTCAATCTTTTTTTAATAGTAGTTATTGGCAAGATAATCAAGGGAGATTTCCCAGTAATTATGATCTAGGACCTTCTAAAGCACATGCACACACACGCGCGCACACACACACACACACACACACACACACAAATAGACAATTATCTGTACTAAAACAAAGAATTCATATTTGCTCTAGCAACTATCAACCTCAAAATTTTTAAATTTTAATTTTTTAAAAATAATTTTTTATGTTAATAGAATATCCCCATTTCTGTTTTTGTCCTCAATTGTAATCCTGGCTCTGCTACTGATTACTACCTGTGTGACCTTGGAAAAATCATTGTAACTTCAGAGGCCTCAGTTTTATCTGTAAATTGGGTGGATTAGATGAAATGATCCCTAAGGTTCCTTCTGGGCCTTGAACCTACGACCTATCTCCTGTAAGAGCTGACGTTTTTATCGCAGATTTTCCATCCATTGTCTCATTTGACAAATGACAAAAGTGAGTTTTCCTAAGCTCTCACAGCTGGAGAGGCAGCTGCTGAGTTCCTCTCCCCCCACCCCACCTCACCCTGGGCTTTTTCCTCTGTACCTTCCTGCAGAGGGAATGCCTTTCCAGATGTGCATTCAAAGCAGAAAGGACTTGAAATTTTGTTAGTAGTTTCTCAGTTGAATATATTCCAGTACATCGAGGACAGGCTAAACCCTGGCCATTTTTAATAATAATGCTATATTGAATTCCCCACCACCCTCTTTTAAACTAATCATTACCGACTCAGTTTTATTTTGATAATATAAAGATTGCTAGGCTGTGTAGGTATAAGATTTCTATTTTAACAAAAAAAGGCATTTTATATTATTTATTAAATCCACACATTTCTTTAATTTCTAAAACATTCCATATCATTCTTGCTGCTTTTTTTTTATCTGTATAATTAGGTATTTAAGGAGATAGCAGTTCTTTTCACATAGGAGAAATGTCTTTTTAAAAATGGAGTTTAAGTGAATTTCTTTAAACTCTGTCCAGCTTACCTGTTCATAGAAATTCAGAAGGTTTCTTTTTTTAACTAAAAAATTAGCCCGCATTAAAGAGAGAATGGTTTTAGGCAGCAGTATAATATCTGGCCACCAAGGAACAGAGTACACAGCCTAATTCTTTTCGCCTGTAAAATGTACATGCCTTTTGGTGTCTTGCCGTGAAATACTGCTTTAATCTACCTCTTCCAAAAGCTTCATAGTTGTTGACAAATTCCAATCTGGCTGTTACATAAGGTAGCACATTTTCGGTTAATTTCCTGCTTTGTTGTTCCTTATGTGACCTAGAGGTTTTTTTTCTTAAGTCTGTTGAATTTTTATGGAATCCTATGACCTGTGGGGATTCCAGACTGTCTGTATATGAGATCTCTCACGACCTGGGTTATCGCTGCTGCTTCTGCTCAGTGTTCTGTTTTTTAGGCCAGGATGTACCATCCACAATTAGAGCTGGCCTGGTCTCAATGAAAAATACTGACCAAATAGGAGATCAGACCAAATCTGTAATGGGATAGCATTTCTATAGGAGAGTTAAGTATTAAACACAGGTTGTAGGGGTGGCATGTGCCTTGAATTTCAATGGGATCATTTCCCCTGGCCATTTCAAATGAGTTTGGAACATTAAATTAGAGATGTGCTTCGGATGCACGGCAGGTTGTCACTGAAATGCACAATCTTTCTAGTGCCTCATAGATGGCTTTGGAATGGTGTGCTAAAAGGGATTTCAAAAACCAGAATCCTTGTGGGGAAAAATAAAAAAAAATAATGAAGCTGTTAATTTCTTTGAAGAGCAGATTCTTTTTCACAGCCTAACATTATTTAGTTACCTATTCTCCCCTACAGATTTGAGAAGTATAGGAGTATATTCACATTCGTAGCAGAATCATTTATGGAATCCTTGAAAAAAAGAAAAGTACCTTGTTTTCTGTGTGTGAGAGTTAACCCAAAAAGGCCAGTACTCCTGTAAATAACCTGAGCTATCATACCTAGGAAACGTCCTTGTTTATTCCCTTCTGAACTTCAGCTGTTTTCCTATTTATTGTGCAAATAAAGTTTGTTTTTTAATTTCTCCGTATACCACATAACCAGTGCACGTTCAAAGTCTCTTCTTCCTTGGAAACTGTTCCCCGCTAAAGGTAACTGTCAGCGCCGTTCAGGATTTTTGTGCCACACTCGGTCAATGCTATCGTCTTTGGGAGCGAGATAACTTGGTTATTTTTTCTGTGTTGGTCAATTGCTCATATAAAAAGAACCCCAATAAAAGAACCTGTCAGTGTACATCTGTTTTGGTGTCCAACTTTTTTTTTCTTTCAATTAAAAAAAATTCTCCTTGATTTGATCAAGATGTCTTAGGATGTGAGTCATTTGGAATATTGATGGTGAGGGGCTGTGGCGGAAATGAAGAGGATGTTTTGGAAGGTGGAAAGGTCTTCTGGCCAGTATCTGTCTGTCGTTTTCTTAGGTTTTTGGATTCCACCCAGTTTTTTATTTGCTTCATTCTTTCAGAGGATGCCGCTACCTTCAGTCTCCAGGGTTGGGCACTCAGTGATGAGAGATGGCTATAGAACTTCTGAAAGACAGGCTAGGCCCCTGGGTCTAATTTGCTGATTTTGAAAGGGGATTAAGCCATCTACATCTTTTACCACAAAGGCACATGCTAGAGTTGCTAGGATTATTTTTACATAAATAACTTTTTTTTTTTAAAAAAAGAGTAGAAATTTAAAAAGGCATTTTGTTTTCTAGAACAAAATGGCTTGGAGCAGAGGCACAGACTTGCATGAGAATTCCCTGGCAGGTCATCTGGGTAGGCATTTTCTTGCCCCTTTGCTAGCAGTGTTTACTGTTCTTGGAGCTCTGGGCAGGGAGGAAGTCGTGACTGGCAAGTGTAGACTCTCTGCAGATCCCTGAAGTATATTAAAGCTTATTGGATGGCAGAAGTGGCATGGCGGCTGGGCTGTTATTGAGCTCCAAAGCTCCTTCCGCAGAAGACAGGAGCGGGGTGTCCTTCACTGGGTGTGCCTTTGTTCTGGAATGGGACAGTGGAAAGATGCTTGTCCAGAGCTCTCTGGCGCCTCGTGCAATACAAGGAGCATCCCTGGTGTAGGGAGGTGGCAGAAGGGGGCACAGCGAGGGCCAGGGGAGGCGTTGCTCAGCCCTGGGACTTTCAAGCCTGCACAAAGCTTGAAGCTTTTGTGGGTAGAGCATTGTGTGGGATGGCCCAGTCTTTGTGCCTTTTTAATCTGGGGCCCCTGCCTGCTTTTTAAAGCATTCTCCCCACTTTTCATACCCAACCTCAGCCTTGCCAGAATTTTAGCAGTGACATCGTAGAATGATATGCTTCAACCCTGAAGGGACCTTTGAGATCATCTAGGGGAGGGAGTGGGTAATCAGCAAGCATTTATTAAATGCTTGCTATTCTCCAGGCTCTGTGCTAAGGCCTGAGATGCCAAGAAAGGCAAAAATAGTTCCTACCCTCCAAGAGCTCACAGTCTAATGAAGGAGACAGCATATAAGTAGCTAGAGACATGCAATATGAAGAGAATATACACAGAAGGTAAACTCATTTTACATTTGCTGAAACACGGCCTTGCTCAAGACGGCACAGCTTATGAAAGGCAAAGTCCGGATTGGAACCCAGGTCCCAGCCTCCACATCCAGAAATATCTCACTCTGCCCCAACCTGCCCCCTGCCTCCTCCACTTCTCCCTTAATTTTATTCTCCAGATATGACCACTTAATCTTCAACTCACCCTGTGCCTTCTATCTATCTATCTACATACATACATATGATTTTTTTCCTCCAACTACCCTAATACTGACAAAGGTCTCATGAGTTATAAATATCATCTTTCCATGCAGGAATGTAAACAGTTCAATCTTAATAAGTCTCTTATGATTTCTCTTTCCTGTTTACCTCTTCATGTTCTACTTGAGTCCTGTATTTGAAAGTCAAATTTTCTATTCAGCTCTGGTCTTTCCATCAGGAATGCTTGAAAGTCCTCTATTTCACTGAATGACCGTTTTTTTCCCGTGAAGGATTATGCTCAGTTTTGCTGGGTAGGTGATTCTTGGTTGTAATCCTATCTCCTTTGCCCTCCGGAACATTATATTCCATGCCCTGCGGTCCTTTAACGTAGAAGCTGCTAAATCTTGTGTTATCCTTATTGTGTTTCCACAATACTTGTGTTTCTTTCTGGCAGCTTGTAATATTTTCTCCTTGACCTGGGAACTCTGGAATTTGGCTACAATATTCCTAGGAGTTTTCCTTTGGGGATCTCTTTCAGGAGGAGATCTGTGGATTCTTTCAATTTCTATTTTGCCCTCTGGTTCTAAATATCAGGGCAGTTTTCCTTGATAATTTCTTGAAAGATGATGTCTAGGCTCTTTTTTTGATCATGGCTTTCAGATAGTCCAATAATTTTTAAATTTCTCTCCTGGATCTATTTTCCAGGTCAGTTGTTTTTCCAATGAGATATTTCACATTGTTTTCTAATTTTTCATTCTTTTGGATTTGTTTTACAGTGTTGATTTCTCATAAAGTCACTAGCTTCCAATTGCTCTATTCTAATTTTTAAGGAAGTATTTTCTTCAGTAATCTTTTGGACTTCCTTTTCCATTTGGCCAATTTTCTTTTTAGGGCATTTTTCTCCTCATTGGCTTTTTGGACCTCTTTTGCCATTTGGGTTAGGCTTTTTTAAGGTGTTATTTTCTTCAGTATTTTTTTGGGTCTCCTTTAGCAAGCTGTTGACTTGTTTTTCATGATTTTCTTGCATCACTCTTATTTCTCTTCCCAGTTTTTCCTCTACTTCCCTTACTTGCTTCTCAAAATCCCTTTTGAGCTCTTCCAAGGCCTGGGACTGATTCATATTTTTCTTGGAGGCTTTGGATGTAGGAGCTTTGACTTTGTTGTCTTCTTCTGGTTGTATATTTTGATCTTCTTTTCACCAAAGTAAGATAATATAGTCTGACTCTTTTTGCCTGCTTGCTCATGATCCCAGCCAATTACTTGAGTTTTAAACTCTTTGTTAAGGTAAGAGTCTGCTTCCAATGTGGAGAATGTACTGTCCCAAGCTTCAGGGGTTTGTGTAGCTGTTTTCAGAGATACTTGTAGGGACCTGTAAATTTTCAGTTCTTCCAAGGTGGTATGATAAGGGCAGGTGTTACTCCTTTCCTGGCCTGTGACCACAAGTATTCCTTTCTGTCCCGTAACTGTGAGGAGGGTTCCTCTCCACAGCCACTCAAGCTCCACCACGCCAGCTCCTCCTCACCCCAGCACCGCCACCAGAACTGTGACCCAGATCCACACAGGGCAAAGCAAGAGATTCCTGCCTCAGCACTGGCAAAGAGATCCCTGCAGTCCCTCTCTGATCAGCCACTGGATTCCCCCTCAGTCTGTGGGCCAGAAGCTCGGGAAGCAGCTGCCCTCCCCCCAGGGCCATGCTCTTGGGGAATAGAGCTGAGACCCCGCCTTCCTCTCTGACCATCCACAGAAACAGACTTTTCCCACTGACCTTCTAAGTTGTCTTTGGCATTGGTGGATTGAGGAGTCTGGAAACCACTACAGCTGCCCGAGATTCACTCCTCTGAGGCCTGCTCTAGGTTCGCTGCAGCCTGCGTGCCCCTGCTGTGCTGTGCTCCCAGCCTGGCGTGATACACCTTTCTGATCAATCATCCAGGTTGTCTTGGGCTGGAAATTTGTTTCACTCTGTCTTTTTGTGGGTTCTGCTGCTTCAGAATTTGTTTAGAGCCATTTTGTATGAGTATTTGGAGGGGTTTGGGGGAGAGCTTAAGCAAGTCACTGCTTTCACACCCCCATCTTGGCTCCGCCCCCGCTCCACTTCTCCCTAAGCAGGAGATTCTCTCTTGTCTCTGCTTCTAGATCTCTGCTTCAGGGCCTTTGGGATTTTGACTCAATTGAGCAAGTGAAAAGCGTTTGGATCTCGTCAGCTTGTGAGCAGCCTTGCAAATGCTTTCCTTCTGGAGTCTCAGTTTTCTTGGTCTTACAGAGAGCCATCTACCTTCTGGGGGTTTCACCTGAGAGGAATGTGGACTGCTCAAAGGAGGCCTCTCACCAAGATCAGGAATGCCAGGGGCTAGCAGAATTATTAGCATATGGCACCACTGAAACCTTTGGCAAGTAATTGGGGTGTCCCTGTGTCTGTGGGTGTATTACATTTAATAGAGGTCTCTCCTATCTTTTCCTGATGTCTCTCTGGAGGCATGCTCTTGCCCAATACATGATACACACATGATCAGAACTCAAGGCTGACCTGACAGTCATTCCTTTGGGGCTGCGGTCATTCTTTTGGATTTCCCTCTCCAGCACTGCCTCCCCCAAACTCTTGGGACTGGGATTCGACAAGCATCTCTGTTGACCCGATTGGCCTCTCATGAAGTCACGTGCCTCAGTGAGCTCAGCATTTTTCATTGGAAGGCAGGAATACCTCACAGGGCTGTTGGGAAGATGGAATGGGGTGATGTCGGTGCTCTGTAGCCACAGAATCTCTGACCATGTAGTGTTCTCCTATTACCCTCAGCACAGGCTTGAGCCTTGTAAGCCCTACTGTGATGCTTCATCTTTGTAGATGGATGGAGAGATGGGTGGAGAGATAGATGGATGGATGGATAGAGAAATGAATGGATGGAGAAATGGATGGGTAGATGGAGAGATGGATGGATGGATGGATGGATAGATGAAGAGAGAAAAATGGATAGATGGAGAGATAGGTGGATGGATGGATAGATAGAAATGAGTAAATAGAGAGATGGATAGATGGAGATATAGAAATGGATGGGTGGCTAGATTGAGAGAGAGTGATAGATGGATGGAGAGATAGATGGAGAGATGGATGGAGAGATGGATGGATAAATGGATGATAGATGGAGAGATGGGTGGATGGATGGACGGAGAAATGGAGAGATAGAAAAATTAATGGATGGATAGATGGAGAGAGAGGGATAGAGGTTGGTTAGATGGATGGATGGAAATGAATAGAAAGATGAAGAGATGGATAGATGGAGATGCAGAAATAGATGGATGGCTAGATTAAGAGAGAAGGATGGGTGGAGGGATAGATGGATGGATGGATGGATGAAGCATTTATTAAGGTTTACTATGTGCCAGGCACTGTGCTAACTGCTGGGAATACAAATACAAACAAACAAAAATACAGTCCCCACCCTCAAGGAGCTTATATTCTGAGAGGGAAGACAAGACATAAAAGAGACCCGAAGGAGGTGTGGTTTACCTGTGAAGCTGACTTCCTGAAGGCTATTTG